AAGGTTTTGACGTACTCAAATCCGGTGATGCTCGTGTGGCGCTTATTGGGTTTCCAAGTGTCGGAAAGGTAATATCAATAATGGTCGATTCCATTGCAAACATTGAAAATGGATCAATTGTTTAATTTCAGTCCACATTGCTGTCAACTTTAACAAAAACCGAAAGTGAAGCGGCCAACTATGAATTCACAACATTGACATGTATTCCCGGTGTCATCGAATACAGAGGGGCAAATATTCAATTGCTCGATTTACCGGTAAGCTTGAAATTGGTGACCTAAAAAGTAGAAACAGTTTGAATGATTTTGTTTTGATATATGTAGGGAATCATCGAAGGTGCCGCTCAAGGCAAAGGTCGAGGTCGTCAGGTAATCGCTGTTGCGCGTACCGCTGATGTTGTCATCATGATGTTGGACGCAACAAAGCCCAATGTACATCGTGATTTGTTGGAGAAAGAATTGGAATCGGTCGGAATACGCTTGAATAAAGAGAAACCAAATATTTATTTCAAGCAAAAGAAGGGCGGCGGTCTGAGCTTCAACTCAACACTTAACCTAACGAAATGCAATGAAAAAATGGTTCAATCGGTTTTGCAAGCATTCAAAATTCACAACGCTGAAGTTCTCTTCCGTGATGATTGTGATGTTGAACAATTCATTGATGTTGTAACCGATAATCGTGTCTACTTACCCTGTCTCTAAGTGTACAACAAACAACTCGACGTCGATCCCCGAGCATGCATTGGTTCATTCTTTGGTCGTATCCAATTAGCAGATATCGAGTATAAGAAACACTTTGATCTCGAGGTGGAACAATTCAAACAGCGTATCACGAAGCGTGCCGCTGAGAAAATTGAAGCAACACTCGCCGAACAAGAAGTAAGAAAGACAAAAATTGATTTCATTTTGGGACAGAAATCGAAATTGATTCCGATTGGAGATATTAAATTATTTGAAATAAACCGTTTTTTACGAGGAAAAAAAATATTTTTTTATTGAAATGAATGGAGTCCAATAAGTGAACTTAATTTTGTTCATTGTTAATGTTTTCATTGGCATTGTTGTTGACGTGGTTGATGTTTTCCACATTTCCAATTCCATGCGGTACAGGAAGTGGGGGAGCCGGATCGATAGACTCCAGAACGTTGTCCACCTGCGCCAGGATTCGCCCGTCAGGGAGTCCTGGTCGAGCATTACGCAAAGCAACCACAGCAGCCTGTCGTACTGCGTTCAGATCCAGGCCATGTCCGCCGTCCATTAATGCTCGAAAGGCACGGAATGCATGTTCTAGCTGGTTCATATGCAATGCACGTTCTTGGTCCGGATTGTTGGGTCGCTGTGGCGCAACTGAAAAAAAAAAACAAAATAAATCAACAACAACAAAACACACGTAGAAAAACAGCAAAACAGACTTTTGCCAGGAGATTTGGTGATGATCGTCATTTTACACTCAATTCTTCAACACAAATGACGCGATTTTGACGTTTCTGTCATGAAAAGGAGAAATGGAATGGAATTCACGCATGCGTTCATTGCACACATGAAAACACACATATGTCTAACGTAAGCACGTATGCAATGACATGTGTTTTGCCATATGTGAAAAAAGCGCATGCGTGAAAATTGTCTAATTTCCCCTTTTTATAAATTCAAATACTCACCAAGTTCATTCAGCTGTTGTGGCGGTATTTCCTGTCGTTCTGGTGGCGGTTGATCATCTTCACCACGCACGGGAAATCCATTTTCATCTCTATTATCCATTTCTTTTTTTTTTGAAGAAAAAATGATGTGGTCGTTTATAAGGAAAAAAATATTGTGTCATTCAACACGTGAAAGCCCGACGAGCATGAAGTTGGTTCCATGCAAAACATTTCTTGACTCAACTGTTTTGTACTAGAATTGAATTTGAATCTCGATGCATCATAATTGTTTTTATTGAAATGTAATTTTATACATTTCTTTTTCATTAAGTATTCAATTTTCCCGAACCAAATTACCGAACTCATTAAATCAATTGATTTAAAAATAATATTTGAATTGAAGAAAAACGTTGTACAACGCACATTCATGTGAGAAATGAACTGGAGCTCATCATGCATGCGTTGAAAACGCAATGCGTTACTGTGCGCTGAAGCGAACGCATTGTCACCGGCGGATTGTCAATTGTCAACAGAACTACTATATTTGGCGTACGAACTGAGTCGATTCTATTCCAACCAAACGCAAATAATTCGTTGTAAAATCTCAGAAAAAAAAGGAGCGGATTTATCGTACTCAGACGCAAATCATTAACGGCAAGAATGGAACAAATTTACTTGAT